CACTAAGTGCTAACAGAATATTCACGTAAATTCCCTTGAGGGTGCCTAGTGGTATTAATAGCTATTCATTTATCTATTCAAATAAGAAAATAAAAAGTTCATTCCTCTGTAAAAAACAAAGTGCAACAGTCCTTTTCAGGACTTACTGCTGCAAACATGCACACTGACCCTACAAAACAATCGCTGGGGTTTTGCCATTGATTTCAACAGAGGCCAACTTTCACTCCCGTCAGTAAATACTGGAAACTCTCTTCCTCTAACTTTAAGCCTTGCATTATACTCGGTATACCCATTCGGCGTGCTCAAAACTCTGCAGTGCCTTAAATTTGAAGTGGCTGAGGTCTCCTAAATATTCAAACTTCCACCGCTTTTCCTAAAAGCATGGCTTTAAACTGAATCAGTTAAAGTTGTACAAACCTAATATGGACATTCTTACCTGGATTCAAGTCTATTTTAGACTAACTTACAGTGGCTACAGATCAAGTGAAACTTCATGAATACAGGGCAGATTTACATCCAGCTAAGCATGGTCCACTGAGATTGATTTTAGAAGTTTAAAGCTCCAGTGGTGTAACTTTGAAATAGATAAACCTTACACTATTGCATCTCTGTAAGCTTTATTTGAAAGGATTAGGGCTTCCAAAAAATCTTGATATAAGAAACATTTGTCAATCAGCAGAAAGTGATGGTTTGCTAAAAAGTTATCCAACAATATTCAATCTACATTTTATCTCACAAGTATTAATATGGTTATTTGGAAAAGGCATATAAAAATTCCTGTTCTGACAGCAGGATATTAAGTGTTACCCTCAGGTTGCTCCACCTACACTGAACATTGTTTTTCTAAAACTAGGTTGCTGTTCTACCTGATTTGTTTCATCACGAAAAAAGCCAGTCACACATCTATCTGCATGTTAAGAACGAGTATTCGTTTTCACAAGCATTAATATCACAAATCCAAAACATACTGATCAATTGATTTCAATGACACAGCTGAGGACAGAAAGCTGAAAACAAAGCAGGCAAGTAGCATCACAGGGAAAAAACCCAAATTATACCAGTGAAAATCTCCTCCCATGCACACATTTCAGGCTGGTATTCCTACTGCAGAAACAATCTACCAAAAAGTGCGGTACATCCAAAAAAAAAAAGAAAAGAAAAGAAAAAAAACAGAAAAGGAAAAAAAGGGAAAAAAAAAAAAGGCAAGTATAAAATTCACCTTTGGTAGGGACAAAAGCAGTTTTTCCAGCATGTCTTAGGACCTCCCCATATCATAACGTATCCTACCCTATCGTTCTGCCTGTGAACTGCTGTCAAAGGAAGGCCATCTCCATGTTGAGCATAGTTGAAACTAGCAAGGGATCACATAGTTAAATCGGGTCAAAGTCAGAGCTGCAGTGAAACACTCTCCACTGAGGAAAAGGCTCTTTAATCTCCCTTTGAAATACTCATTAAGAACCATCTGAAACCGCTAGGAACGGAAACAAAAACAGTGGCGTGGTCCAAAGACCAGAGCAACCTCAGACATGAAGGTGACCCCTGCTTTCGGAAGAATAAGAATGCAAATGAAACAAGTCATATTCAGAAAACCCAGCCCAAGCTGGCTTCACCCCTGGTTCCCCCTAGCCCCCCAGGCCTGGGTCTCCCCACAGCCCCTTAGTGCCTCAGCTCCCTCCTTGCCCCCGGCCAGCCACCCCCAACCACGCCATGCCCTGGTCCCCACCCTGCCCCACGCCTCCAGGGGCTTTGCCAGCCCAGCCGCCCTCGGTGGGGTCCCCCGGCCCCGCATCCCAGTGATGGCTGGCAGCTTGGGCAGCAGCGGGCACTGCAGAGCTTCGCACGGGGAAACCGAAGCCGGGCACTGGCTGGCCCCCCCCCCCAGCCACCAGCCCCCGCGCCACCACGG